CGTGTCTGTACTGAATTTGTCCAGTTGGTGTCACTCCTTTGTCAATACCTGTGAAAGGCGTTAAATCCATTTCTTTTCACACCTTTAATGGTAACGTTCAATCGGCTCCTCACTGAAGGACCACTGCGCTCGGTTGGTACATCTTTGGCCAAGATCTAAAACCAAGACGCACATTTAAAAGAAAGGGACAAAAGCTTTTTTTTAAAAACTATAACTACTAGTATAACCCTTGAGTTTGACAATGCACACCCTAAAAGCCAATGACAAACTCAACTTCATATTCTTCATTATTGGCTCAATATCTGGAAATGAATACACAAAATGGTCCACCAATTTTCTTTTATTGGAAGGTTTCAAATACAACTCAAGTTACACAATGATTGCACCACAGTACAACTAAGCTAAAAAATATACTAAGTACAAATTAACTAACTAAAAAAATGTTAATGACAATAGCACAGTAATCAAGTTACACAATGATTAAACTATATAACCAAGTTAAAAAATAAGCTAAAGAAATATACTATAAGTACTAAATATAACTATATATACTAAATATAACTATTAAAATATACTATAAGTACAAAAAAGAAACTAAAACCATACTAAGTCAATAAAATCTGTTATTGACAATAGCAATCATGTTACACAGTCCTTACAATTCAGTAAAACACAAGTCCAGCAAACAAGTGATCTGACAATAAATGGAAGAAGCTGGAATAACAATCAATGTTGGTCTCACTTACCTCTTTCCATCACGATGGAAAGCCACAGTTGATGGAGCCAAACTCCTCCTCGTACGCAGTGTGGAAGAACCTGCAGATTAGAACAACACGTCACTGTGCCACATGTTAACACAAACAAACAGGTTTTCCTAAAAAGCAGCTACAGAGTAGTCACTTCAACAGCACTGCCAACAACTACATGTTTACACATCACTATGACTGCTCACTATCAACAGTAATACAAAGTTGTGGCTTCTTCAGTGCTAATGCAAACACCACAATGGAATAAGGGACATCTGTACATTTTCTTCATCTGTTTCTTTTGTTCAGATGAAGACAACAGTCACTGGATGCTTTATTCAAACACACAATAATACTCTGGATACACCACTTCAACTCACCTGGCCTCAAACTTGCCATTTGCACACTATGCACAGTGGTGATCATCAACTGGCAGTTTTAATTTATTAGTATGTTAGTTCTGATCATCCCAACTAATCAATCCATATCTCAAACCTAATTCTCTACCCCAACTCTTATCCCATCAACTCTATCCCTGTCCTGAACCCTTCACACAGGGATGAGAACTGTACCTCACTGTCCATGAGCACTGGCTTTATTCCCAAAAAGGTCTCATGGCCATTCCTGGGACAATCTCTGCTTCTGGTTGTGAAGGCCTGGATGAGGTGCAGATGCCACCGCTCTATGTGGACAGAAAAAGGTAAAAACAAGACGTATTTTAGTCTTCAGCAGATACAGTATTTGCTGTGTTTAACCCCGTTTTCTGTCCCATACACACTAGGGTACTAAATGTGTTTTTAACAAACGAGAGCAACATTTCCTGTTTAATTTAAATGTTGTCTTGCTACGCATGCGCAAACTATTGAGAGGAAGACGTACATTTAAAGGTCCCGTAGTGTAGATTGTCGTTAATGCGGAAAGAAACAAAATAGATAATTGAACGACATTACCACAAAAAAAAGCAACAATGCTGTGATATCAGTACAGTGAACTCAGAAGAAACGATATTTAACCCGAACAAAAAGCAGACTTTACAACTGAATAAACGAAAGTACGTACATTAACAAAGTTTAATTCTTACCATTCCTTTTTTTAAACAGTTGCCTTTTCTGTACGAGCCATCCGCTGTGCATCCGGAGGGTCCACAGAGATGAAAACGCTGGACCGCAGCACCAAACACACGGTAGCAGGTTAATTTGCAGCCAAAAAAAGTTTATCGAGAACAAAACTAACGCTCTAGTGTCCATAAAATGTCTGAACACCACATAAAACTGCTCCATTATGTAGTTTAAACGTTAAAAGGTTGTTTCTGTCAAGTTATCGTTCCCCTCGTGACATTCACGCATACACCACGACGACCAAATGTTTGTTTGAAAAACGTGAGCGCACATTTCCGGTATAATTTAAAAGCTCATGCTAAGCATGCGCAAACCAGGGAGAGGAAATGACGTAATGTAATTATTAATGTGAACGAATTTGTAGATCTGTGTGTACAAATAAATTAAAATAAAAACAGAAATAAAGAACATATGAGAAGTTTATTAATAACATTTTAGATCTTCAATCAAACTTGCATGTTGATAAAATAAATAATCAGAAACATTTGTATTTTTTTATTATATTCTTTCCATTTACTAGTCAAGACTGGGTTCTTCTTTTCTGCATCCCAGTCATTTTTGTTTCAGTGTGTCGATACAAAGTTGCGCGCTGTGACGTCACATCCGTCAGAGTTTATAGTCAGTAAACAATCCTAACAGAGGGGGCACAACAGCCAATCTACATGAATTCTAAATATATGCCAATAGTTGTCATTTACTCATATGTAGACATATATATTCTAATTATATTTATATCTGTTTATTTAACATAGATGCCCTCTCACTAAAATATGCAACTGCCCCAGGGTACACCATCTGACCAAATACTAGTTTTCTGAAGAAAACTCATATATGTCATGAAAGGTCAATGTTGGAAAACACAAGAACTAAACATGGCCCAATGCCTGGATTTGAACACACACCTCAGGGCTTATTGCCTGCATCACTGTCACATAATTGATGGAATGTATGTTTGTCTTGCTAGCTAGAAGACATATGTGTTTTAGATGTGTTTTAAGTACAAATTAACAAAAATGTCAAAATATATTGCCATGAAAGGTTAATGTTGTAAAGCATAAGAATTAAACAACACAGTCCAAGCCCTACCTCAGCATTTTTTAAGATGCCTGAGAAGAGAATGCTTTCTGCCAACATCAACAGGCATGTGCGTAAAAGCAGGAACTACCCACAGATAATCGAATCAGGTTTTTTTCTTTCTTGTTCTTCCCAGCTGCTCCATTCCCTGCTGATAAAAATGTTATCTACTGCACAGAGGAAGGGCTGGACCCCCAAACAGAGGGAAACCTCACAGCTTTCCACTTCCTTCCAGTTACACAGAGCTCTGCACTCATTTCAACCCAGCAGAGGATTTCACACTCCCTTTGAGCATAGTTTGAGCTGTAGTAGCATTTGCATAAAAACATTCCCTTTTTAGAAGCTGCAGAGCTGGGAGATAGAGACACCTAGTGGACATTACAGAGAAGACTTCATGATAAACAGTACACATCCGTAAACCTACCACCAGAGGGCAGCGCCTTCCTGTTATACAGATATAATATGACCGATTTAATGGAAGAGAAAAACAACTGAACAAAGAAGTTTTATGTATGTCCACATGATGAAGCTGATCATCCATAAAAATGTACATAAATGTGGGGTTTTATTTATACAGTGTAATATTCACATAATATTTGGAGACAGACTGTACATGCAGACCAACGCAGAAGCACACATTCAAACATGCATTCACAGTTACGAACATTCCAAAAAAAAAAACCACTCAGTCATTCAAAAATATTAAAAAAATGTGTCCTTCAATGATGGAATCTGTACTCCCCCCCCCAATAGAAACCATTTGTCCTTCTATAATGTCCTTGAGTCAAAATAAGTTGCAGGACTTGAACTGTGCAGCAGATTTCGACCTTTGTTCTTCCAGATACAAATCCTGGTGCAAGTTTATTCACAAATTGGTAAAATAGTAACAGACACCACTCTCTCACCACATCAACTTCATTACCATCACTGCTACGTACAGTATGCAGGCCATGATTGGCTGTGTGTTTATACGATCTGCGGCTGCTTGGAACACCGCGGCCAAAGAGGACGTAGGCTGAAGATGAAGAGGACGAAGAGCACCAATGCTATGACAGTAACTATGGAGACGTAGCCAGCGTGGGGCAGAGGAGGGGTGTCTGGAGCTTCAGCTGGGATCAGGTTGGTCAGGGTTAACATGTAGCCCAGAGTCCAACCTGTGTCACTGCCCTTAATCTAGAAGCAGCAGAAAATAAATGGTGATAAAAAGTCACAAAACAACAACCTGCAGTACAACTTCTGGACAGAAAAATGAAAAAGAAAAAGTTTAAAATATGGCTATAGTCTTGCAGGTTTTTTTGGTGATATTTTGGCATTTTCAGATCTGATGGTTTTTGTAGGTTTTAGCACAACTTATTAGTAGTGGTAGCAGCACCAGTGGTAGATGCAGTTGTTGCATTAAGGATTGCAAGTGAAATATAAGAAGTAGAAACTCTACTAGTAGTTGTAAAAGCTGAAGTGTGTAGTCTTTGTTGAAGTAACAGCAGTAATTTCCACATCAAAGTGGAAGTAATGGAGACTGCAGCTTGAAGTAGCTCTTCCTGTTCCTGTTCAGACCTGTACAACATATAATTGCTTTCAGATAATTTAAAAATATTCTGTTACATTATTTAATTTGTCAGTTGTGTAAAACCTGGGTGAACCAGTATGGTGGTCTGTATACAGTAGATCTGCTGATGCCAATGATAAAGGGATAATTCTAGGATAAACTTTAAAATATACTGTACCCACAACAGGTACCTGCCACTCCAACACCATTCAAGCATTTCAAAACATAGTCTAAGTAGTGGCCTTAACAGGATTAACATTTATAGAACAGCGGACCGCTGACAAGGCTTTAACCCGAAAAATTGGCATTGACAGAAGGAACTTTTACCTCAGTAAAATAAAATGACCCACGTGTTTCCTATGGGATTAATTGCAAAGTGAATTATGGGATTTTGTTCATGGTAAATCTATGCTTCATTAAAATTGGAATTATTTTGCATGTTATACACACATGGGATTTGATCTCTGCGAATAAACCATTCAGTAAAAAAAGGATAGACTCTATGCTGTAGACCAGTGATCATCAACTGGCAGCCTGCGGGCCAATTCAGGCCCGCCAAACTGTACAATCCGGCCCGCAACTGGATTTCAATTTGATTTTCATTTTCTTGTATTTGACTGTCGGGCCACCAAGATGTCTGAAAAATTCTGGCCCTCCGACCAATGTGAATGGTGACTAGATTGTTAGTTGGTGAGTGGACAGGATTTGGCCCACAGGTCTTGGGTTTGACAAGTGTTCTGTATGAAGGTTTCATTCAAAGTGACTTTAAATTGTTTTTTAATCAACCCTACCCTTTACCGTTAATAATTAGACTTTTTGAAGCATGATTTTTTTCCATCACTGTGCAGTGTTTTAATGGCACCAAACCTGGTAAATACAACTGGAGTGAACGCCATGCACACCATAATACTTAGAAATTTGAATTTCTTTTTTTTCTGTCTCACTCTCTGGATCACTCTTTTCCAGAAAACCACAAATTCACCTCCGTATGGGTTTGTATTTGAGAGACATATGTGAAGATAGAGCTTGGCGTTCTAATTTTGATGACCCAAACCAAATGCTTGTGGCTTGACAAAAATGTCAAAGTGCATTTTTGCATTGTTAGCTTCTTCGTTTGCTGTTAGCCACAAGGGTTTCTTTGTGTGGGCTGATCGTTTCAAACAAGAGGTGGCCTTTTATGTCCATCAAGTGAAACTGCTGCATGCATCGATTTTTCAAGACCTTGTATGCGCTTATGTGTTTCCCACACAGTAATGTTTAAACAAAGGACAGAGAATTTTTTATGTTTTAATCATATACCAAATGTACTAGGTCTTGATTTGGAAAGACAGACATGGTAACCAACACACTACACAAACACTACCCTACACAGGAAGTTAAAAGTCAGCAGGATGTGACCTGAATCGTCACACCTGAATGAAATGAGCTTGGGCTCAAGGCGAACTACTGACCTTCTTGATAAATTCTATGGTGGAATAGGTCTCTGAGGTGAAGTTGTATCCTTCGGTAAGTAGGGTGATGATATACGTGCCAGAAAAACAGTATTCAGCCAAGTACTTCAACTTTATGTCTGGATGCTTGTTCTTTAGCTGGACAAGCATGAGAAAAAAAACAGCAAAACAAAACAAAATAAAACAGTGGAATCATCAGTTTTCAGCACAGGCAGTCTGAAGGGCATGAAAGCAGAATATTTCCCAACCTCACGCCAGGGTGTAGCACAGTGGCGTGCTAGCTTTTCCTTGACAGATTCCAGAGGGATGGATGTGTCTGTCAAGTTGAGGAAATTCATCACAAAGTAGTAAGCAGAGAAACCCTGCAATGAGAGAGAGGGCAGTATACATATACAGTATTCACATATATGAAATTATAGTTTTATATATATACAGTATATATATATATATGCATATATGTGCATGTTCATGTAAACAGTATGCACACTAACCCTTAATCTCCTTACCCCATATTTCCCCTGCACTGTTGGCTGGAAGACCCCATTGAAGGAGCACTGGCTGTATTCACAGCGTGAGAAGTTGAAGATTTTTTTGACCACTTCTTGGCATTGTTGAAAGTTTCCTATGCCTGTGTGGGTAAAATTGGAAGGAGCTTGTTGGGGTTTCCTGTCTGACACACAGGGGCTGTCATAGAGATCCGAGTATTTCTTTGTCTCATTGTAGCCAGGATGGAAACAGGGGTCAGCTATAGTCCCTAGGCCCGTCTGGGAGAGAGAGAGAGAATGACATAATAGATAAAATTATACAAGACAGTGAATTTCCGTACTGGTTTATATTTATTATTTTTGTGAATGTGTATTTTAATGACATCTGTATTAACAAGGATAAAAATGGAATAAAAGTTACTCGAGTCTGGTGGGCCAGTGTCAGTCGCAGCGCTTGGTCTTTCCCATAGCAGAGGAAGCTGTGGGTGTAGAGTTGGTAGTCATTGCCATAGAGTCGGAATTCCTTGGAATTGGAAAGAGACTCTGAGCCATCAAAATGATCGGATACAAAGGTGATTTGAGTAGAGGCCCCTCCAAGGTCAAGAGCGCCTTTTGTTTGCAAGCCCTGCATCAGAACATTAAGTTGGTGCACGACAGAAGCCAAAAACTTTGGAGTGCGCCATGATACATCCTGATTGGTATTTGAACCCAAACCTGTTTGAGGCGGTCGTCTAAGTAATTGACTGTGACCCAGCCAAAAGCTCCCTCTTCCTGGCCACTGAGGAGCCTCGCACCCCGAAAGGTGAAGGGAAACTTTTGCAAAGCGTCCGCCACGGCTAGAAAGACCTTATTTGACGCAGATTTGTTCTCCAAACTGCACGGACACACAGCACAACTTCCTGAAACTGAAACACTGTAATACATCTAAATCAATGCAGTCACACATAAATAATAAATAGCCTGTGAGCGCTCTTATCACACGCTGTATAATATATCTGACAGTAAGGCATGCTCCGTTCTGACAGTAAATTTACAATAGGGAGTAAAATGACAATTAATCACAGAACATCACATTTGGATGTGAGTCATACTCGAGCAATCTCATTCCTGCAGTAGCCCCCAGATAAAGTGAGGTCTCGCTGTGGTGACTCGCAGGAACATGTCTTTGGGCCTCCCGCATGCACTCCTTCAGAGACTCTCCTGCCATTGACGGGTTGGAGGCGTAGCTAGAAATACCTGGACCTGGCAAAAAAAAAAAAAAAAATTCAGGTCAAAGTGTCACCATTAAGTGACCAGTAGGGCAATCTGCAAATTTACGTCCTAAATAAATACTCAGCATGTTTACATCATGTTTTCTTGCGTAAGCAGAATTAACAACAGCTTTGTGGCTAACTGTTTTAGTCAGTCTGTGGTGTACATCCTTGCTGCCATGGTTACATGAGAGGCTTCCACCTAACACAGACAGATGTGGAAAGGATGTCGGCACAAACATTTTTGAACTCAGACACCAGGAAAGATACTGCGTCTGTCAGAACTAGAATTAGCATTCATTCAGCTACTTTGTATGACAACTTTAAGTTTCATTGTTATTTTTATTTTTACTTACTATATGTTACTCCCATATTGTATATAAGTGTAAGTGTTCCAAATGTATTCAAAGAAAACTGAATTGTTGAGAGAGTAGTTTCACTGAATTCTGCAGCACTTTATTTGAATCCAAATGTGTATCTTAGATTAATTTTTATAATAATTAATGAATATAAGGTGTTCCTTTGGTGATTTAATTTGGTTTTCAGTCATATCTGTGAAGCCCACGCTGCTTTACTTTGTATTGTTAATATAAACTAATTTCACATTTATTATTTACTATTCTAATTCTAATTTATGCTACACAAATACAACTGACTTGACGTCAGGTTTTTTAACAGCTAACAGAACAGTTTGAGAAACATAAAATATATGTATATTCTTATATATATTTATACACACATTTGTCTGTGTGGCCTGTGTGCATCGTACAGTACCTTTGACTTTGCATGAATGCATCTGTTCCACTCTGCCTGTGTCGTTGTCCTTCTCCGCCGGCCACTGATAGATGTACAGAGCTGTGTGTGAGGAACCAGCATCCAACACAATCCCATACTGGAGAGGAGAAGAGCCAGAAGTCACGTCTGAGAGACATTAACTGTGGATTTCTGACAGGACTTTTATATGTGAGGAGGACCTGTCCGGAGGGACAGTGTTCCTTGGCTAACAGGTCTGTCCTCCAGACAAAAGCAGATGATCTGACCAAATGACCTACTTCCACAATCTTTCTCCCAGGTTGTCCTTGACCGACCTCACTCTGGCTTGCGCGTCTCTCAGAAAATTTAACTAGTTCTTTTTTACATTCTTGTGCAGGACTGATCTTATTGGACAGAGTAGATCCAGACGTGATGGAATGGAATTTTCAACATACCTTTTTTTTATCTCTTTAAAGATGTTTTTACCTTTGCCAGCCTTATTCTACATGTGTCCTTGAATTTATTATTACACTGTGCATTAAAACAAGCTTTGATATCTGAAGCGAACCTGCAGCTAATAAAAAAAAAAAGATTTATTCCGCAGCCAGCAATCTTATACAGGACTCCCCCGTGTGACCATATATGGACTCATGGACTCAGCTCCAGGCTGCAAGCACTGAGTATTTCCCTCACTATTTACCTTGTACTTTTGGGAGAGGGGCTTGTTCTGCAAAACTGCCACCGTCACCAAGGCAACAATCGCTATGACGCCAATCACAGTGATGATGATGGTCACAGGCCTGTGCCAGGGGTTCTTCTCTTTCATGTCTGAGAGCGTGGGCGGAAAGAAAGGCAGACAGGAAGTAGAGGAGAGAGGGTGACCGGTGGGGTGGAACCGTGAAGATGGGGACACATCGAGACAGAGAGAGAAAAGTCTGTTAGCCAAGTCTTGGATCCAGATGTGTGTGATGTCACAGCATGTGTTTGTATCCAGTACAGTGTTTTAGAGTATTATTCTGTAACCAAGGACTACAGATGAGTTTTCAGATACTTGAAAAATGTAAATTGATTCCAAGAATTGTTTCAGTTGCCGCTCGTCTTGGTGTCCAGCAACACATACAAAAACACACACACACTAGCTGAATAAATAAAGATTTCCTTTTTTATAATATGATTAAAAACAAACAAACAATGGGCTTTGATTCTTTGGAAAATAATGAGCGATTGCACTAAAGGACTAATGAGTCTGTCGACAGACGGCCATGGACCATTTAAATGTGCTGTCGCGGGGGAGTGTCGTCTGTGCACCGGTCCTCTCTAAACTGTCGTTGGGTTTCAACTGTTTACAAATGAAACATGATCGTCAGACAAAACACACTCCATGAAAGAGGGCTTCCATGTTGACTCTTTGGAACAAGAAATAAAGGTGCAGCACGCCATCGGACAATGTCATGGAAAAATCAAATCAAATGAAAACAACAGCAGCCTCAATTGAGACATGAACACACACGCAGCTGCATTCCCACCCCCCCCCCCCATAAACACACACACACACACACACAGCTTGATTATTACCAAGGTAGGTAAACTGAAAGACAACCTGTGGCCACACATGGCAGTCAGTCCACACACACACTGTAGATTCTAAGGTGCCAGTTAAAAACAGCACGCTTCTTTGATTTTCTTGTAATCCAAAACCTGACCTTCTGTTGTTACTGCACAGCCGAAGAACAGAACCAACCTGAAACTGAACACAGCGCTGAAGTGAGAATAAAAGAGAGCTCTTACCTCTGTTGTCTACTTCAATGAACTTATCACTGACAGGCCAGGGAGGGGGAGAGAGAGATAAAGAGATGTGGAAGGGAGAGGGAAATCGGGGGAACAGGAAGAGAGCAGAATGGACAGATGGGAGACAGTGGAGTGATAAGAGGAGGGAAAGTTGTTGTTTCTCCTGTCGGAGCATTAGAAAAGAACAGCATGAAGGGGGCTCTGAAGCGCCAAGTTTGGCATTTCCTCCCCAGGCTGGGGGAGCAGAAGTGGTCACTATGGAGATGCAGCTAAAGTGCATTCATGTGTGTGTGCGCGTGCAGGCTGGTGCGCATGTGAATTTTTTGAAATGTGACTCGCTTTTGCTGTCTGGACTAATGAGAGTCATTTGCTTGAGCACTGCTCTCTCTCTCTCTCACTTGCTCTCTCTGTGTGTTCCAGTGCAGCAGGGAGGGGAAGTGGGGACTCCCTTGTTGAGCGAGTTTTCAGTACTGGCAGGCTGTGATGTCATCCGTGTGACGGATTGGGATCCCCTGTTCCTTGCTCCCTTCTTTTTTCCCTCTCTCTCTTTCCAACTTGTGTATGTATGAGGCGTTGTTGGAGAGCTGCTGTTGGAGCCGTGTAGACCCAAAAACATGACCAGCCTGCAAATGATCTTTTCACACATCCATCTATCCTTATGTTTCTTTCTTGCCAAATTTGTAAATGTGCAAAAATGCACCAGTGGAAGTCTGCATCAAACTACAGCTCATACCTTGTAATTAGCATGTAATGCTTGTGTTTTAAGAGAGCCCAACAGTTTCATGCAGTGACATTAGTAAGTCATTACAAGTCATTAGTAACTCTGAGACCAGGGCACGAATTTCCAAGTAAGAGACATGAGCCAAGGTTCACAGCTAGGTTTTTTCTGAAACCAGATAGGATCATTGTGCTCCATTACTGCGAGTATTTTTGTATGTACTACAATAAGAGTATTTCTTATTCTTGGCTGGTTTGAACATGAATGTTGTCAGATTTCACCATTAAAATCAAACAGAACACAATAGGTTTTGTTTTGGTATTTTAACAGGAGGACTTCATGCTGCTAC